GAGAGCAAATGGGCTGTAGCAAGGTTTTCTATAGAGGGATACGTATTTGGGACGACCATGAGTCGAGTTTGTCGCTCAGAACCTGATTTTCGGAACAAATTCAAACATCGGGCCTTTTGTCACTTATGTTCTTACTCTTCGCTTACTATCACCATAAAAATTAGCAATCGAAGGTGCGCGTGGTCAGCGGCGCCACATGCAGCTACTTCTTCCCCCGGAAAAAGAGCTTTGCTATGACTGCGTTCATACTTTGCGCCGCTGTGAACGTTGCGGACAGTACGGACAGCGCGAAGAGCGTCAACACGCGCACTGGCGCATGACGCGTACTTGGCGTACAGTCGGTAGCTTCCAATCGATAATTTCAGTTTCAATACATCCCGGCTATTTATCAGTGCCCAGTGCGCTGTGCTGCTTTTACTCGTATTTTTTGGCATAGACTCCTTTTTTTTGTCTTAATAATGTTTTTCAGTTGTCGCTGAACAAATGGCGTTGTGCAGTTGCACTTGAACGGGCGGTAAGCTTCAGGTGTGTCCATCAGCGTGCAGAAACAGTATTTCATACAAATACAAAAAAGACTTGAGCAAACAACACGAACGAAAGCGAGACGGCAAACAAAAAATAGAAAGAATGCATTCATATTGAATTTATCGATCGGGAGCTACCAATTGCACGCCAAGTACGCGTCATGCGCCAGTGCTGTGTTGACGCTAATCGTACTGCCCGCTTTGTCCGCAACGGGGCAAAGTATGAAAGCAGTCTAAGGTCTTTGACAGACGGAAAGTATGGATACCAGAAGTATGACAGTTTATCTACGAATATCTCTATCTATGCACGAAACTTTCGAATGCGATCAGAGACGGTGGATTTCAAGAATTCGGATTTGTGCACAGCTATCGTTCATTAAGGGGTTGCGCTGCCCGAAATTTCACGGTGTTTAACATCAAGATGGGCTTTCTAATTATTTCAACACTGCAAAAACAGAAAAGGTGTTAAAAATGTTCTGGCTGATAATAATTCTTCAGGTTCATAATATTGCTGAAAGTTGCTGTTGTGCTGTTGAGCATAGGCGATATCACTGCTGCTCTCACCTAAAAGTGTGGCTGATGCCTTCAGGAATGTCTCCTCAGTAGGGTAGTTAAGTACTGAACCTGTAGGCAGGTCGAATAAAGGTGCTGATTTTATGCAATGTCAGCATTATATTCAAGCAGTCTCTTCAATTCGGTTACCTGTTGAATTAGATGAAGAAACCGTCCATTTTCTCTATAATTCGCATGCATCGTCTCGGGAAGATCGACCAGAGCCCATACCCATGTGGGAGTCAGTTCTGCTGCTTTCAGCCATGCTTCACTGAAATGCGAATTTCGAATGTGCTTATAATTCACAGAATTTCAATAGGTTCCTCACGGGAACGATGCAAGGGAACGATTACTTGTTGAAAACCTTTTGCTTTCATTGGAGGAGGAGGAAGAAAGATATAAAAACAGTGTGACAGTGACTTCCTCCCTAATAAAAGACTAATTTTAGCGCATAGGGAAATTTTTTTTGCGATCGGTCATTTTGGAAAAATTCATCAGTTTAACAGAGATTGGCATGAGTTTGGACTGCTACGTTTTCTTGGACTTTTCCCTCTCATATAGGTATCGATGGAACTGTTTTATGCGCGAGGAATAGAACCGTGTGCGATGTTGAATTGGTTTTGTTGGCGCCACGGTCACCAAGAAAGGCAGCAACCACTTGTCTTCCAAACCACAAAGCAACCAGCTAACTGCTATTTTCGAGGATCTGTACATGGGGCAGTCCAGATTTCCTCATTGTTCGTGCACTTTTACAAGTCCGGTGGATTAGCTGAACACTTACGATTAGTGATGGAACTGCGTTGGGGCTTCGCGTAATGCTATTTCTTCGCACATGCTCAAAGGTTGCTCAGGTCACTGCACCAGTCCTCCCTCCCCCCCCTCTCCTCCAACCGAGCCCTGCGAAAATTCTAGGAAGCAGCTAACGTTTTAAAAGATATGACTACAGCACAAGTCCAGATCTAGAATTTTTCTTCAGATATCTGGCCTTCTATTAGAATGCGTTTCATTGCAAGAGTTTAAAATTTTCCAGTTTTCAGCTAGCCTCGATTCAGAACTTGTACGAACTTCTTTGCTGGGCTTTCTTCCATAATTCTCTCGGACTGCTCGCTTGTCCTGGTAAAGGTGAAGTTATACGAAATAGCTCGTGCAGTTTTCCTGAGTCTTTGGAAAAAAACACCTGCATTCTAACAACTCAAGTACTCAGGTAGTTTCTCTAACCTTTACAATGAGAATGCTTTCTCACCTATGGAATATGCAGCAAATTATAAGTGGTATGAAATGATTGGCAGTCGTGAAATGGTGCAGGCCGGTCCAAAACTCGACAGGCAGAATCCGCGACCAAACTCACCGGCCATCGTTCGGAGGCCATTCAAACTACTGTTCAAACTGTGTCACTCTGTTGTCGCCTCCACCTCTCTTCTGCAGAACAACGCCCTGTGGTTGTTGTGTTTTGTGTTCTGGCCTTGTAAAAGGACCATCTAACCTCCTGCCAAGCACGAAGGGTGGCACTTTTGCAATATACCACATGTGGGCAGGCAAAAGCTCAATGTTTTGGAACGTGGCCTTCGATCGGTTAGTCCATTTTCGTTCTAGCATTACAGATCGAGACCGCGCGTTTTAACATGTTTGTGGCCGCATGGGAACATATTATGCAGTAATCACGCTTAATTGCCCAAGACCAATCCACAAAGATCGCAAAAAATAGGAAAAGCGACTGGGTGAGATTACGCGGAATCTCCCACTCTCGTATTTCGAATTCTGAAATTCAAAAATCTTATCGAACAAACTGGTTAGATTAATCTATTATATGACGTGGGAGAGACAGAATGAAAAAATGGAAAGAGAGACGGAGGAAAGACTCATATTTGTACCAAAAGATGGGCTGCAAAGCAAAGTCAACCGTCCACGTTCCCACGTTTCAAAATTTTGTCGACCGTCGTGCTCCACCCTCATCATTAGTCTTGGAAAGTTTCTTCCAGTACGATCCCCCTACCGCTTCTCCTTCGACCACCACCCTCACCATCGTGGATGTTTCTATATCATTTGATTCTGAGATCCGTTTCCATAATGTAATCCTCAACCCCAAAATGGGGTACCATTTAGGAGGCCCATCGCGCGGCAAGAAGGCCGAGTCGGCGGACGAGTCGCGGCGCGTGATGCGCGATGAAGGACGTGCAATGGGACATTCTATTTAACTTGACGCGATTTCCCAAATACGCGCGGCGACACCCGTAAACCTCGACTTGGCCTCTTGGCCGGCGGCGGCCTCCTGGGGGGGGTAACGCCCCCAACATGCCGAACCCCCCTTTGTTCGCCGGCATTACAGAATGCGCACCTCGTCAGCTCGACATAGTGGTTAACGACGCTTGGTCCCGCTGCGAATTCCCCGCGTCGAGGCCTGCCATCTCTTGTCTTATGCTTGTATCTAAGTTCACGTTACAAGGGGGGGGGTCTTTCAGGAAGCCGCGCTTGAAACCTGCCCCCCCCCATGTTTCGTGTTTTCGTTGAGAGATCTTACGATTGGCGTATCAAAAAAGGGTTGAATGACATCCTTAATAGTTCGATCCCCCGCGGCCTCCATTTTGTAGTCAAGATTGGCGGCACCTGTTTGGCTTCAAATGGTCCTAACAAAGGACATGAAATCTATAATCTTTCAGAACATTTAGCGCGATTTGGCACCAACTCGTAGGCGCCAACCCAAATGCAAAATTTAGTCGCTCACTGGGGATCGAACCATGAAACAGTACCTTATGCTTTTTTCGGTACTGCTAAAACCGTTCAGCGAAAATGGAAACATGGCTTTGTGTTCCCCACATGCGTCGTACAATATGCAAGAAACCGTTTTGAAAAAAGCATGGCTTGATCTGAAAGACCCCCCCCTTATAAGAACATACACAACAGTGAACGGATTTGGTGTCTTTCTATTTATAAAATAGTGCCTTGCAAGGATTGAGCTCAAGCTCATTAGCCTATGACAGCGAGATTTTTGAACGTGTGCGGTATTGTTCCATGAATTTTTTGCAAACAAAAATATGTAGGTGGCATTTCGTCGATTCATTCTCTCAAATGATGGCGGGACGGTGTTTCCGGATTTTCCTCTGGCGATTTATTCAATTGTGACGCAATATCTCGCCTATTTACGCCTCTTTGCGCTCTGAAAATGGTCATTACCGCAGCACTTTTGTGTGGGAATAAATGGAACCGCCGCTCGTGAATATCTCCACACATGCCCACCGCGAAGACTTTGACATTGTAATGTTCTGAGATCTACGGACTTTATTTCTGGAAATCTTTGCAGAACGGGAAATGCATGAAATGAGGCTTCAACCCTCTTTTCATGGCTTGCACAAAGCGGGAGATTACGAGTAGAAGGCAGCCCATAATAAAGAAAGTAGAGGAGATTAATGGTGCAGGAATGAACTAAAAAACTAGGAGAGCGGCCTGGAGCAAAGAAATAGGACGACTCTCATCGGTGCTGCTCTCTTCAATGACAACGCTCTTTGCTAAACTAGGCTAGAGGGGTTACTCCTCCTGGGGTCTGGTCACCTAAAATTGAGACGCTTTTTCTATGAAAGCATCGCTCGTCGCTATCTCTAAACAAAACCTATTGCAGTTTTGAATTTCCATTAAAATGGAAATAAGCCTTGTTTTCCATGCTTCACGTGCAACTGCCTATTTTCAAGAGGATTGGCCCTCGGATAATGGCCAATTTGGTCCAAATAAGACAATAGAACCGGCAATTTCGCCGTTTTTGACTTAACGAGGTAGTTGGAAGAGAGATGCGTCCCCGTAAACACGTCTATTGTCACTGTTGCTCAACGTTTTGAAAGCGGCGACCTTTTCTCGGAATTGCGCAAGAAAGAAATCCTAACATCAGAAACCTGCACGTTCTTATCTTCCACTCATGGACAGATATAATTTCTTGGAAATATCATTTGAGGGATTTGTTCGTGAAAAGAATGTCCCGCCAATTTCAATGGAAGCGTGCTTTCTGCAAAAAGTTCAGTGATGTATTCAAAAATTAGATTTGAATATTTGAATATATGCAAAAGCTAATGGAGGCCGCCTACCCTTCGATTCCATTTGGTTCTTATTTGCACTCCTTTCACTTGCGAAGTATGAATGATTTGCTGTGCACACCGGACGCATGAGTGTTTTGTTCCAGATCCATACTGATCAGACGACTTAAAGTCATAGTACCCGATCAAAAAATACCAAGACCCAGAGCGCTAACAAAAGTAAAGATGAGCCGTTCCCGCCTTGTTATAGCGAGGCGTTCACGACCAATCACCGCTAAACTCGGATCGTGACCATTATTATGTTATTTAAAACGTTGATCAAAGTGTCTCAAAGAATTAGAGCTACTGTCTCTTGGAAGCTATCCATCATTAAACCAAAAAATTTTCGTCTGCTTCCGTCGCTTCTCGTCGCCGAGCGCCTCTTCGGCGTGGCACTATCGACCTCAAAAGTACAAGAGATCCTCAGTTTATATGTCTTTCATTTTGCTTCATCTTGCTTTTTTCTTCCACTGTCGGCCCTACAAAGTTGTAGTTTCATGTCTAGCAAAATAAATGCATCGATTGGGCGATAAATGTGCCTAATAGTTCAAGTGCCAAAATCATCTAAATTGATCCTCTTAAAGGCACGTTCCGCGATTAGGCGCGCTCGCC